GTCCGTCTACTGTATCCTGTTTCGTACATTTATGGTCGAGCGATTAACATACAGGTAATTAGTATGAATCTTCGTCGAAACTGACGTTATTTGTATATTTGATTTTGCTTGTTCTGCGAGCACTTTCAATTTTCATCCTTCCAGCAGTTGTTTCATCGTCGCTTTTCTTCTCACCACTGGTGCAACTGGCAATTTCTCCATTCTTCTCTACTTTGAACCGTTCTTATCTGTATAATTTCACTTTAACGGCTACACAGAACTTTGTGAATCGTTTGATAATGAATTTAAAATTTCAGATGAACTTTAATGGTGTTGTGCTTAAAAATGAATCACAGTGGGCCAGAAATGCAACAAGCCCCGGACTAGAAATTGCTTCCTATATAACAAATATGGAATCAGCCAAGCTGATCAAACTGATGTATCGTGGCGAGCGTGTCGGCGATTGGACTGTAGAGGAAACGAAGCGTTATGAGCTGGGCATCGTGCATTACTTCCAAAAGTATGCTTATTGAGTCCGAAATTTTTTTGTTTCATTTAGCCTGCGTAATTAGAGAGAATGATATGACTTTTTCAAACTGTATTTAAGACCTGAAATGGCTGCCGGTGTGCCGCTGATTCCTATTCGTAGCCTTCCCCATCGGTGTGACCAACAGCCGCACCATTGACTTCGGCCTTGGGCTCCCTGCTCCGTAGCACACCATGCTTCGAGTTATTGGGTCAGCCCAGCGCGCTGATGACCTTTCTGCTGTTCTTCTGACATGATTGAAATATTTTGTTTTAAACTGTTAAACAAATTATTTCGTTTAAACAAAAATTACCATTATTTTAGCAAAGTTTAACACTTATATTTGAAATAAGTACATTTCCCGGGAGAATGGTTAAAGTTTTGTCCGCTATTACGAGGCGAAGCGAACATCAAGTTCGACAGCAGGCTAATCACCAGGTGATGCAGCATTGGACAAAGCAACAGCAAAAGCTGCTAACTTCGAAGCTAACTGTGTGTTGCAGCTGATCAAAATACCGTACAATAAATAATTTAACTTTTAAAGTTAAAATCTCCTCCATAACTCTCTCTCGTCCCCCTTTCTCTAGATGAGGTAATGGAGTCACAAGCATCACGAGTGA